GTACACGCCCCTGCCGAGCAAATTGCCAACACTGAAAAACGAACCCCCCCCCAATAGAAAGCTGGCTACGGGCCTGATACAGTACTGTACTACAACTCTCGCCACAGTTAAACTTGTTTTTCTGCACTGTCACATTCTCTGTCCTGTTCTCAAACGGTAACAATGTGCCTGTTGTAAACAAAAAACTTGCTCTGTCCATTATCGTTGTCAAGCTACCACGCGACAAGGAATAATACTTGATCCAGTGCTTTAGGGCTATGAAGAAACACACGACACAATGGGACATCACGTCACTGTCGGCTCATATAATATTGCAAACATTTCAATCGGTTTGCACACTTTGGTAAACAAGGCTTGCACATGAGTCACCCACGAGCAGACCAACTAGTATAGCTACGGAAATCAATAATACCATGAGTAGGACATGATAATATCAAATTTGGTATCATCTTCCTGATAATACGTAAAAAATTGCAATAGAATATAAAATCAATATACCTACCTAATTATTGTGAGAAACTGTGACATACTCAGGTCTTGTGGAACCAGGAATTTCGTCTTATCTATTGCAGGCAGACTCCTTTCTTTGTGATATCGTTCTACTATAACCTGAATAATTTCAATCAAAGAATATGTACAAGCATGTACAACAATAAATAAATTTACATCTAAACAGAGGTCGAGATTAATGCAAGTTCAGAGGGACCCACTAATTTTAAAAGTGTTTTACTGTCATACTCTCCCATGTGAAATAGCAGTAGCCCTGACTACTGGTGACTACCTGAAGGTTTTGCTATACAAACCTCAAATATAACACTCCGATTGTAATGTTTTTAACATTCTGGGGGTAATGCACAACAGACAACGTGAAAATTAATGTCAGTATGGTAGTTACTTTGACTTTTGAAGACAGGAATCTTTTGGGACTGACTCCCTTGTTCAAGAATTAAACTTCTACCCCTGTTACATACCAGAAAATCTACAGTGGGCTTATCGTAAAAGTCTGTGGATCGAGTGTTTTGTAATCACTGGGAATGCATAAGGCTGTGTCTACGCATAGATATATATATATATATATATATACAAACACATGTATTTGTATATATCTATGTTCTACCACAGCAGACAACAGCAGACATTATTCCACCCTTTACTTTAGTGAGAGTTACTCAATTTCTGGCCACATTTTAGCTGGTGTCTGTCTAGGGAGACCACGACATGGCAAGCCATGCGCTAACACATGTTGACCATGACATTGTTGACCTAGCACTAGTGTTCATAATACCCTATAATAGTGTGCAACGCCATATGACCGGGTTCACTCTACTGATGAATCCTATTGATGTTTTCACAACAAAACACGACAGGGAAATTACGTACAAATTCTGATGTATTAAATAATGAGGCGCTTGACCTAGGTCCTTTAGATAAACAACAGGAAACAAAATGCTATGAAAACCTGTTTCACAATACTGAATGTGAGTGAAAATCCAAGGATTTTACAAAACATGTACATGTATACATATATCAGTGCTCGAAATAAGCGTTGTCCGGTTGTCCGAGACAACCAGAATTTGCGCCGGACAACCTAACCAGTCTGAGACATTGTCCGGTGGACAAACCGAAAAAAACGCTCCCAGTGTGACGAAAACGCCACTTTATTTACTGTTTTCTCAGGGCGTTCTCCAAGAGCACTATAGCTGTGGCCCGCCTTAATCTATGGTGTGAAAAGCAACGCCATACAGCGCTATTTCCCAACACTGGTTAGTATGTCAGCGTTTTCTGGATTAATGAGAGGTGAACTTCAACTCGATTCTGAAACCAGCCCAAAACCAGCAAGTTCACCCTTACATTTTGGTATTTTTATTCCATTATTATTTTGCAATTTTCCGTATTGCTTTGCCAATTGCAAAACAAACAACAGCTGGGGATTCATGTTGATCGCAAGTAAAAAAAAGAAGAGAATTGTCGCTAGTCAGAAGAAGCTGTTATACTGACTCAAAACTGACGCAAATACCATCTCCTGCAACGCATCTACATTTTCAGAATTTTCTGGGATAGGCCCCCATACCCCCCGCCCTAGTTTTTCACCCCTCCCCTGGAATCCTAGGATCCGCCATGAACAATTACATATCTTGCGGAGCAGAGAACAATGAACAAAATGGCGCCTGTTTCGCACTGGCCACCCAAAACAAAGATTGCCAGAGAGGTAGAGGCAAGCCGTAGGATGTGGGAGCATGGGAGACGCGAGGAGCCCATTAAAGTATTAAGTCATCCACTATTTTGGCCGCCAGCTTTGCTGTTTTTGCCCCCCCTTGGATACAAAAATCCTGGCTACACACTGCTTTTTGGGGTTTGCGACCATATTTATAATTTATTATGATTGAAAATAGGAGATTTGGGGATATTTTTCTGGGACAACCAGAAATTGTTGCGGACAACCCGATTTGGTGGGCTGCGGACAACCACATTTTTTTTCTTATTTCGAGCACTGTATATATATATATATCAGTACTACACTACTAGTACTACTGCATACACAAACATGCATGCACACTTAGTAGCACCACGTTAGGAAATTTTACTCTCTATTGTTAGTAGATACTTACAGGAACTTTGGTTGGAAATTTGGAGCGAATGCTCGCCACTTCTTCTTTTCTTGTGCCTAAAACAAAATTGAGAGAAACATTGAATCCCGACCCCAAGTTAAAGTCTGGTTTAGCTGTATGTACGTAATGCTTTAATATTTTTTATCACAGAACAAAAATAGCTTGGCCATATTATATGTTACACCTAATTAAGCTCCACAGTAATAAATTTCATACCTGTCAACATTTGCATATCTCCAGAGGTTTTTGTTCGCGGTCTTGTCTTATCGCGTAGATTAGTATTAAATTGTCCCTGTATGTAGCGTGATTTCCAATTCTCAGTCGAATACCAAAACCAATCAAGTTTCTCATGCTCAGACGAATATCCATGGCGTCAAAAGAACACCTCATTTTAATTAGTTGAAACTACTATTTATGTCAAGGGAGATAAATAATAAAAATGGGGGGAAAAGGTGGGTGAAATTCAAGACTCAATAAAAATGGTTGATTTGGTCAAAATTGTGGCAAGTGCCTTTATCACATTGACAATAGTGACACACTAGCAACAACTCAAAATAATCTCATTTGTGTTGACAGGTATCATGACATTTATAGTGGTGCACACACCGTCGCAACTGACAAAATGTAGCATCTAAGTCCTAGCGTTTAGCTAGGTTTCTACCTTACAGTGCTACATGCGTACACATTTCCCTATTCATATGATATCGGTGTTTGATATAATCCCTTGAAGTCCTCCTATTTTGAGTCTTGTCTTATCGCGTAGATTAGTATTAAATTGTCCCTGTATGTATAGAGTGATTTCCAATTCTCAGTCGAATACCAAAACCAATCAAGTCTCTCATGCTCAGACGAATATCCATGGCGTCAAAAGAACACCTAATTATACTTAGTTCAAGAGCGTATTTAAAGAAGGAGAGCGTACAACGGTGAAATGCTGAAACCATGTTGCAGTATTAGTCAAATTAATAAACTTTCCCCGTTTTATTTTGACGATTCTTTGAAGTACTATTGATCAGCTGTCCTACTTTGTTTTAATATAAAACAAACCGCATGTCCCTACGATGCCTCTACGCTGAGATAATGCGTGGTGAAAATCTGGTATTTTCGCAGAAAACCGACTCGAGATCAGTGTTTACTGCAACTGTCTCTCGTTTTGTGGACTGTATATGTTGCTTCCGGTCGCCGCTGTGTAGCGCTGACTCAATACGTTATTACTACAGCGTTACTACATCCAGCTTAAGGGGCTGGTCATCACCATGGCGATAAATAACAAGACATTTTTGTGGAGTAATGGCTGCGTCAATGACTGGAAATGCGAGAAAAGATAGAAGAAAAAGAAATTTCATTGTCAATGAATGACGGAAACATGCGAGGTTTCCCGAAGCTATCGCCAGAACAAGACAGTTGCAGTAAACACTGATCTCGAGTCGGTTTTCGGCGAAAATACCAGATTTTCACCACTCATTATCTCAGCGTAGAGGCATCGTAGGGAGAAGCGGTTTGTTTTATATTAGCAAGGTAGGACAGCTGATCAATAATACCACAAAGCATCATCAAAATAAAATGGGGAAAGTTCATTAATTCGACTAATACTGCAGCATGGTTTCAGCATTTCACCGTTGTACGCTCTCCTTCTTTATACGCTCTTGATTAGTTGAAACTACTGTCAAGGGAGATAAATAATAAAAATGGGGGGGGGGAAAGGTGGGTGAAATTCAAGACTCAGTAAAAATAGTTGATTTGGTCAAAATTGTGGTAAGTGCCTTTATCACATTGACAATAGTGACACACTAGCAACAACTCAAAATAATCTCATTTGTGTTGACAGGTATGACATTTATAGTGGTGCACACACCGTCGCAACTGACAAAATGTAGCATCCAAGTCCTAGCGTGTAGCTAGGTTTATACCTTACAGTGCTACATGCGTATACATTTCCCTATTCATATAATATCGGTGTTCGATACAGTCCCTTGGACGTTAAAGACTAATATTTATGAAGTTATGAGGATACACCGACTTCTATAGACACAGTAGAGTTATGAGTGCATGTTAACTGCAAGTAAAATGACAAACCAACACCATGCATAGAACGAGCCTGTCATAAATAACTAGTGCATGGTTCTTGTTCTTCCATCGCTTAGTTTTTCAACGTGCAGATAGGGTCAACCATGCGTGTATTACTGTGTGACAGTCGCGAGCGAAAGTGGAACGCAAGAAGTGCTAGGGACCTGTCCGTCCAATACTACGAACACTGTAACCGTGCTGAATTATGACTGAATAGGCCTAGTGCCAGTAGTGGTCACCACACAGAGCCATACAATTATACATTACAAGTCTGCTTGCTGGACCTTATGCTGGTCTTTATCGTCCCCCGACCACATACGCGTAAACACTTACCGAAAGATTTCCGCTGCTTGAACGTTTTCCCGGTGTTGTCGTTCTTGTCTGTCATTGTGACTTCGAAGAGCGAGTCGCACCGTCTGTCTACAGTCTAGGACCTCCGGCCAGTTAGTACTAGCTCATTAGGCACTGTTAGTTAAATGCCGCCGTTGACGCTAGCCATAAATGTTCACAATCTCACTGGACACGCTAACATGTGTCGGTTAGATGTGTATAGATTCGGACGGGGAAGAGTCAATCAGTCGGATCTCTAGTATCAGAAATTCATCGAAACAACGCAGGACAAGATAAAACGCACCTCAGCTGGCGAACAACTGTGCTAGCAGTGTGACGTCACGCGCTATCGTGGTGCCTGGGACGCCGGTTCCCGTTTCTTATTGTTCATTGGACAGACTACGGGCCAATGAAAAACACTTACATCATATATATAAGATTGTTGGACCAAACATAACCGCAAAATAGATCTATTTCAAAATATAACGAAATTGTCCATTCAGCATAACTGTAGAACCTAGATGTGGTTTATTAAACCTACATAGAGTCTACCTGTATTATTTCTATGTAGCCGACTGACCAATTCCCATACAGCATAGTTCAATTGAAATGATTTACTTCAAACCTAAATCGAAATAGATTTATCACATATGTACTTTTTCTCTTTCTAACGTCGCATATTACCAGGGGTCCAGGGGTACATAAAGACAAAAAATTCCATTAGGAACAATTTGTCATTATTCACCCCTGATATTACTAATTAACTTCATATAACAACTCTAATCAAAACTGTTGCATACTCATCTTCAAAAAATCATATGCTAATATCATGATCATCATATATTATGATACATGACACTTCATATATAATCCTAAACCGTGAATATGACATCGTAAATGACTATATAGCAATATATGTAAGCAAAAGATATTTAATGAACAAACAAGAAAATCAAATGGCTAAAAAAGAAAAACAGAAATTGGTCATAAATTTCATCATTTAATAATGATACAATTAAATCTTTCCTGAGAAGATCCTCTAATCAAATTAACGGATCATCTCATTAACTACGAATCACAACCTTATAATATATATAGCACATATATAATTGACTGTAACTCTACACTACAGCCAAAAGTCCGGATGCCAGAAATTCGTACCACCAGTAAATTTTAAAAGTACTGCCCAAAAAATCAAAAATTCCGGACCGACCCAATCCCCGAGCAGCCCGGATTTTTCGGACTTCTACGGTACTAACGTCTATTACATCATGGTCACACGCACCGAGCCAATCTATAGAAACTGTTGGCACCACGTTGAGATTTTCTCTACAAACACATTGCGAGCAATGAACACGGTTTGTTTGGCCTCCACCCCATCCACCTATATTTATGTCTCGCCTCGTTATATACTACACAAAAATATGAAATACAAAATCGGATTTGCACTGAAAGATATGTTCATGGATTTGTATATAGCGACTAGCATTGTTTACCGAACTTGGAAACCAAACAAAGGTTTCATTGAAGCAATCAGGGAAAAATTGCGTATTTAGTTTCAAAAATTAATTTCCCAACTTTGACTACTTATTTTTATGTGTCGACCTTTTCCTCCTCCTGCATATACGCAGCCTTGTCTAATCCATAAACACTGTTATTTCGTTATATATATATAAAGTAATGTGCTAGAAAACTAAACTTTCTAGATATTACTTGACGAATGATAAACCCATACAGCTACCTACCCTGCATATACAACAAAACCATACTGGAACTATAATGTCCATACATTGAATTTTGGTCATATTACATCATATCACAAAACTCATATCATCAAAACTACAGATAAAATAAATTTAGGCCTAGATTCCTTCAATTTCTAGCACCTGTCTATTGTAACACAATTCCTAAAACAAAAAATAAAAATATAATGGAACCTTCTAGTTGAATACAACTAGCATAGCTTTAAATGTAAGTGTTCCCATAGCTTTAAATGACTCTTGACTGATTCCATAGCCAGAATATATCTGTATGATTGTATACATACATTTTCCTGGCATTTTTTTACAACTAAGTAGTTGAAGCCAGCGACAGATTCTTTCTCCAACACCTGCTGATAACTTCCTGCTATTACCTGCACCTGTCTACTGTAACATATTTCTACAATAAAAAATAAACCACATAAAGATCAAAAGTGGCCTCATCGCGGCGAACACAATAAATGTAAATAGACCCAGTAAATTAAAACTTAGAGCACGCTGCAACAAGTGCGTCAACAGTTTTGTCAATTTTGTCATCTATACGGCCAACAGATATATGTATACGTATGCACATTTATAGCCTTATTGCATACCTAGGTAGCTAATAAAAGCAAATTAAATAAAAGCTAGCAAATATAAAGCAAATTACAGATTCTTTTCTCCAATACCTGCAGATAAATTACTGCTATTACATACATAGATAGATATTGTAAACTAGGGGTGCACCGGATCCAACTTTTTAAGTTCCGGCCAGAACCGGAACCGGCCGGAACATGAAAAAAGTTCGGGCCGGAACTACCTGGCCGGAACCGGAACTTTAGCTGGAAATAAACTTGACAGTTTTGGCCCAGTATTGTGCAAACTCACTCGGCCTGAACGAAATATCATTAGCAGGCACATCACTTAGGCGAGTAGGACAATGCTCAAAGTTCTAATTACAGGGTGGTTGTTACTGTTAGGTGTATGAATCAGCTGCTTACAGTGCATAATTTGCATAATTCTGGCATCTTATTCACGAGCGAATTCTGTGGCAAAACCTGCATGTTGCAGTATCCGTGGTTTTAGTATATTAGTTTCAACTAACGGACAGATGCGATTCCTGTGGCTCTAAGAGTATTTGATTTTGAAAGAAAATCTTATGAATCACCTAACATCAATTAGGTTCAGTTCAGTTAGTTAGCCAATGTTCAAGTGACAAGTGTTTTTGGGGCAGAAAAGTGTGAAGTTGTTAACACTATATTGTCAGCAAGTTGACTCTATTGACTCAACTACATTCAGTGACAAATCTTTTGATTTTGATGACACTTGTAGCAGAAATGAAATTAGAAAAAAGTTCCGGTTCCGGCCGACTGTTTCTGAAGGGTTCCGGCCGGAACCGGAACTCTAAAAAATTGGAGATCCGGCCGGATCCAAGTTCCGGTGCACCCCTAATTGTAACATATTCTTAAAAAGAGAATAAAAAAAACAATGATGGCCCCACAAAGGAGAACACAAATATAGTCTTAAATTTAAGTGGACCCATATCTTTAAATGACACCCAACTCCTTTCCAATTGCAACAAATGCGTCGACAGTTTTGTCGATTTCCTCATTTGTATGGGCAGCCGATATCTGTACACGTATACGTGCCTCACCCTGTGGCACAACGGGATAGCTAAACCCAATGACATAGATTCCTTTCTCCAGCATCTTCTCCGCGTACACATTGGCCAGGTGTGCGTCTCCAAGCATCACGGGGCATATGGGGTGCTCGTCGCCGCCGACCGTGAATCCCGCTGCCTTCATGTTATTGCGGAAGCGCATCGTGAGATCGTGAACTTTACCAGCCAGCTCGGAACTCTCCAGCAACATATCGAACACCTTGATGGCCGCCGCGACGACGGGTGGCGGAACCGAATTCGAGAAGAGGTACGGCCGTGACCTCTGCCTCAACAGATCTATGACTTCCTTCGGCCCAGTCGTGTACCCGCCCGATCCACCTCCTAGCGCCTTGCCCAAAGTGGAGTTGATGAGATCAACCCTGCCAGAGATTCCCAAGTGCTCCTCCGTGCCCCTGCCCGTCGGCCCAAAGAAACCGGTGGAGTGCGCCTCATCTATGAAGACGATCGCGCAATACTCGTCCGCGAGATCGCATATGCGCTTCAGCGGCGTGACGTTGCCGTCCATGCTGAAGACGCCGTCGGTGGCGATGACGCGCATGCGTGATGACTGCACGTCGCGCAGCTGCCTCTCCAGGTCGGCCATGTCCCGGTGCTTGTAGCGCAGCCGCTTCGCCTTGCAGAGGCGAATGCCGTCGATGACCGACGCGTGATTCAGCGCGTCCGACAGCACCGCGTCGTCCGGTCCCAGCAGCACCTCGAAGAGTCCCGTGTTGGCGTCGAAGCAGCTCGGATAGAGAATCGCCTCCTCGCGGCTGTGGAAGAGCGCGATCTTCGCTTCCAGCTCCTTGTGAAGGTCCTGCGTGCCGCAGATAAATCTCACCGAGCTCATGCCGGCGCCGTGGCTGTCCAGCGCCGCTTTACCCGCTTCGATCACGTCCGGGTGACTCGACAGTCCCAGGTAGTTGTTGGCACAGAAGTTGAGTATCGTCGCATTCGAGCCCTGGACGTTGATCTCCACGCCCTGCCTGCTGGTGATGACACGCTCGGGCTTCCAGGTACCCGCTTTCTTGATGCCGGCCAGCTCATCCTGTAGAATCTGCTTGACTGCCGCCTGCGTTGCTGTGTGTCGTTTGAATGCACGTGGAAATTGCACTGAAATTAAATAGCCAGCTTGTATGCGTACATAGTATACCATGATACAGAGCAGAAGGGAATGCCACCAATTTGCTCGTTGTCACCCATACCTGGCAAATTGGGTATAGTTTCCATGTTGTCCTAATTTTGCCTGCATGCCATCTACTGCATCATGACAATGAAGACCCCCCCCCCCTAGCATATTACCTCCTATCTTGGCCAAGACATATAGTGTAACTAACTGTATATAGGCATTAAAACAAAGATCTATATAACTTTTAAGGAGTGTATACATCCCTTTCCAAGCTAACTGTCCTTTCTCCTCTTCTCTCATGCTGAACATAATGATAATTGTTATAGGAGACACGTAACAGTAGCGTTCCGCCGATTATTCAGTGCGTTTCGCTATTTCATCTCTGGAAACGGCCTTTCTAGATTTTTTATGTGTGCTAATATTTGGCCCTAGAGTGCACTCATTTTCATTAAGCATGCAAGGTAGATGCCTTATGGGCATCTCTAAGGCATGTAAACTGAGACTGGTCTCGCCATGTAATTGTGCCATTCCGTCTGGTGGTGAAGCCCTGTTGACTGCTCCGCTGTTTTCATATTAAAAACAGGATCAGATTAGAATCAGGAATCAGGAAGGAGCCCTGCGGAGGAGCAAAGGGCTATTGTACTAGAGCTACTTCTACTGTTGCATAACACCTATAGGGTTAATAGTTTCTACTGTACCGCCATCCAGAGAGACAGGATACCAGAGAAGTGTTGCCGAAAGGAGGTGTTGATCCTAAGCGCTGAGAGCGGATCTTGCGCGCAGTTCCGCGGCAAGGCACACGCGACCGCGGGAACGTCCTACGACAGTATGCAGCGCTGGCAGCTATGCATCCGTGCGCCGAATGCATAGGCCGGTGCACGGATCCATAGCTGCCAGCAAACAGTCCGCAATTTCAGCGGGGGACACAGAGGGAAGACATTTGGGACGTGGGAGGAACTCGCGACTTACATGGGGGGTTGTACAGATGGGGGGGAGAGAGCGAAGCTTTTGATTTCGCCGTGGTTACATTTCCGTGTGGTCTTAGGCATTTTCACTATAAGTTCCAAACATAAGAAAAATCGGACCATTATTTAATGAAAAATTTGATAAAATAGTGATACGAAATAGTACGCGGATTGTGCGCCCAGTTACCTCTTTCAAATCATACGCTGTTTGAGAATCGCCATTCGCTGCATTTTCCTGGAGCTCCGCCCACTTTAAAAATAGTGCTAGCATATATTTACAATTTTATACAATATTTTATACAATATTGTGGCAGTGGTATCCTGAGTGTACGAACAAGTTAGTATTTTGATTTTCGATTTTCGATGACAGCAGGTGAACGTGCAGCATTTGAATACAGCTTACTTCATTAGCATTATATATAGTATCTAATGATTTCCTGACAGCTTCTTTTTCTATATATATAAACAATTAATACATTATCTGGCATCTCTATCATCTATGTGATCTTGCCTTATATCATATGCACCCCTAGTTTGCAAATGCAGACGTTATAACTCCGCTTTGCTAATGTGAGGGTGCGGGTTTATCATCACCCCCATTACTGGGGTCTGCGTCGGCTCGGACTAATGCACCCCTACCACTACAATCTCCCACTGCCATTGTCATTGTCAGTATCAGGAACTAGCTAAAGTAAATTGCTTGCTATATAAGCATGGGTTGTCTAACTAGTATAGGGGTATTCTAGCTAACCCTAGCAAAGACCCGTTTCTTGAAGCTAGTAGTAGTACTAGCTCTAGTACTATACTATATAGTATTAGTACTAGTAGTAGTAGCTCTAGTACTATAGTAGTAACTAGTAGTAGGAGTACTAGTAGTAGTAGCTCTAGTACTATAGTAGTAACTAGTAGTAGGAGTACTAGTAGTCTAGTAGTACTAGTACTAGTAGTAGTAACTAGTACTAGTACTAGTAGTAGTAGTAGCACTAGTACTGGGGGGGGGGGTAGTAGCTAAGTATAGGTACTAGTAGTAGGTACTAGGTATAGTAGACCTGGAATATGAAGACCTGTATAGGAATATGAAGGAATGCAATAATAACACTGGTCATTTGACCTTAAAGGACAAACGGCAACTGATTGAAGTTATTTACGGGTAAAACTCACGACGTGATGGTGGTCATGGTGTGTATATATAGCGTAGTGGCGCGATCTATCGGACGGCATATGTGCTAGTCTGACGTTGGTACGGGCCGTATACCGGTCATGTATAATCACGGGAAATTTGCCCAGCAACAGAGCTCGGCTCGCTGGTAGGCGTGCGTGACGAGACACGTGTCGGTGATTGGCAGTCGCCGTGGGCGTGTCTCGACGGAAAACGTCGTTTTTGACAGCAAACAAAGCACGCCGAGCAGCGAAAAATGTTGTACGAGCATTTCTAGAAAATGTCTAGCTACCTGGGTAGTCAAACCCGTCGTGCAATGGCCAGAACTGCTCAACTCAGCGATTATACGGCTTTGGCGTTTATAGTGGACCCCTTGATTGCGTAAGAATAGGTGCAGCGTAGTTATGTTAGTGTGCCGCTCCCGCTACGCGGCGTTTTTTCGAGCTTCGCGCGGATATCCGGGCTGCCAATTGTCTGGTGGTGAAAAACCAGGAAGACACACACATATTCTATTTCATCATTACTTAGTAATAACTAGTACATAACGTCCTGGTTAGGTCACATTTTCACGATTCACCATGGTTATGGAAATTTATTATGTTACATATGACAAATATGTAAATAGCAGTTCTATTATAGATACAACCCAACCTGTGTTAGGTACCTAGCTTTTCTACAAAACCTGCAATCAAAATATAATATAGCCAGTTACACAGTAAAATGACCTCTATAGAGTGGTCATCTTTCCATAAAGGCTAGTGTTGGTATTTCCCTTGTGATTGGCTAATATAATACAGATTTGACTGTATGCAAATTATGTCTACATAGATAACTAGAAAGGGCAGTTGTCACCAACTACATGTATCCCCCGTGATCTAGTATGAATGAAATATCTCTGTAAGGACGTAGAAGGTAGGTAAAGTTAAATAAGTCACAAAGACAAAGGTTTGTATTGTTACACAACTCATCTGCCTGAGATGTGCAAGTATGTTAAAAAATTGGTTGCCTTAGGGGTTTTGGTACGCGACACACCTTCTCGCCAAGAATACGACGTTTGCTCGCACTAGGTCAATTAGGGGCCGAGTTATAGAGCAGAAGGGAAATATGATAAAGGTCAAGGTCAAAGTCAATGTCAAATAAAGGTTGCAGTGACCTGGTTTCGGTACGCGACACACCTTCTCCCCAAGATGTGTAAGTATACCAAGTTTGGTAGCGCTAGGTCAATTAAAGGTAGAGTTATAGAGCGGAAGGGAAAGTGTCTGCGGCGGCGCCGAGCAGCGGCTGGACAGACATGAAACCGTAGTACCCCCGCCGACTTCATCGCGGGGGATACAATAATTAATTGGCTAATGTTGCCTTGTTATAAAAACATACTGTCTCTGTTCGTAACCGAGCTGTGTCACGCGAAATCACACAAAAACTGACGAAATTCTCGCGTTCGCGAACCTTGCCCCATAATGTAAATGGCTGTCAGAATCAGGAAACACCTACCGGCGCTCTTCGTGACCTCATTCTTGCGCCGCAACGCTGCAACGTTTTTGCAACGTTCCAATGGCGAGGCTCGTACGGGAGTTGGAAAGCAGTGTGCCGCCTGCGCGCCGCCTATAGTCCATAGACTGGCACTCGCTCCCACCTCTCGGCTTAGCTTAGTCACTCGATGGGTAAGCGAG